CGTTCGTAATAGCATTTACTCTGCTCACATACCTATCCCCGGTTATTTAAAAGAAGTTTTTGTGGGGGGATATCACGGCTATAGGTACTCAGTCGCCCTATTCACGACTTTCAAAGAATGCTCTGATAACTAACTACCGCACAGACCTACTGCATTAGTGAATCTGACAAAAGGTCTGTGGAATTACATCCCCCTCACCACACCCCTAAAAACTCATCCAGTGTCCAAAACCACTTTTATCGACTCGCCAAAAAAAAAAAAACACACACACACAAAGCATGGGGCATGTCAGCTCTCAGTTCATTTATCATTGTCTTTACCATGGTTCAATTGCATTGCGCGATTCAAAGCACGTGAGTGCCTATAGTATATATGTAGAAAATGAAAATAATACCTACAGCAAAACATCCAAAATTACAAAGGCTACAATGCTTAAAAAGTAGGTTCATCAAGGAAGCCCATTTTAGCTTGAGTGGTGTTGCCAACCATGCGATTCGAACGCGGGCTATTCACAACGTCTGCAAAGGCACGTTAACGACTGACAAGCCGCCACCGCTGCCACTTATTCATAGATGGTTGATATCGCAGCTTGGGCCACAACGCGTCGGCGCCAGCGCACGCAGCTGTTGGCACTCGGCAGCCGGTATTGCGACTTAACGGCCGGCCGGCCCCATGAAGGAGAAGCTCTTGCTGAAGCTTTGTGATCGCCTCATAGCCGCCTTGGATGTCATCTTTCTTGGCAGATCCATCCGTTCAGATGGTACGGTGCAGTCTGGATAAAGGACGAAGTCCAACGCCGCTAACCCCGCGACCGCCACCCCAGAACGTGGCCGCAGACCGAACGGGCGTGAGGGCCGTAAGGGCCACCCCGCCATCCGGTAGGTGGCTGAGCAGCCGGGCGCAGCGGCGCCTGGGCGGCGGCCGCGCTGAGATGAAGTCCCAAACCGCCATGTCGCCATCACCGCCATCACCATTGCTGCAGCTGTTCCCAACCGCCTCCATTGCCGCCGTTGTCAGGTATTGCCAGCAGCCGCGCCGCGGGATGTCAGAAGCCTCGCCTCCAGCGCCCCTCTCCGCACGTGTGCAGGTGCTCTGCGGCCGCCGGGTCCGACGTCCAGGCAGAACATGATATTTCCATGCTGCTCCGACGGTGGGCTGGTCTTGTTTGGGTGTTCCTCCACTGTGACGTCGGTCACGCCTACCCCGGCCAGGGCGCAGAGGCCGACGTCTCACCATCCGGTTGCGGTCCTCAGTCGGGTCGCAACGTGTACCTCTACCGCAGCGTGGAGCGCGCTCCCGCTGGGCAGCGATACAGCCAAACGTAACATGCGGGCGGCCAGCGCTGCGCCGGACAGCGGACCCATGCAGGGGGTATGCCGGTCTCGGCCATTAGCGGGGTCGTCGGGGCCGAGGCTGTACATACAGCTGGTGACCGCGTGAGCCGCCAATCGAAGCTCACGGCTTATAAGCTCGACGCAGGCATCACACGTTGTCCCGATGGGAGCTCCACGACGCCGCCGCGAACTCCAGCAGCGCGGCTCGCAGCGCGAAGACCGGTACGGACGGCCGGGGCGCGAACGGCGTGCGGGAGTCGCAGGCGACGGAAGACGTTCTGCGGACAGAAAGGGTTGGGCATAAGCTGGTCGGCAGGACACTCTTGAGCCGAGCCTTTGATGTAATTACAGATGATCCAGAAGCATGCACAAAAATTCATGACACACTATTCCCATTTATGTATTTGCTACATATGATATGATATACCAGCTCATGATCAGTGACGCATTCTGGGCAATATGTTCTAAAGTGAAGTAACTGAAGTTACAATTGACAGCTTAAAAAAACACACACACGCACACACATTCGATAGCTTATGAGAATAACATGCCTTGTCTGTTTAATGCAGGAAAATATTTTTCACTTTTTTAGAAACAGCAAAACCGTTGTCAACATGCCATGTCAACTATCTAAACAATTTTTATGGAAACTGCTCTAGCTAGCTTAAAGTTCCACAACGTTTCCGGAGCACTGTACCCAAACTCAGTTCATGTTGCAAGAAAAAACAGTAATAATGCCTCCTAATTTTGAATGAAATATAGGTATGAGTAATTTGATTTGGAAATTGGAAAGCAACAAATTTCCGCACATCATTTTAGCAAAATTACTATTTTCTTCAGCCACCAGGTTTTGCACAAAACTATAGTAAACTTTATGATCTAGTTTACACAAAACCAAAGCCCCTTTTAACAAATGTTGAATAAATTTTAACAATTTTAAAAAATGTATCGTGGAAAAAATGAAAAGTGTAGATTTGTAAAGCCGGGATATTTCACGGATTAGGCACTTAAAGAAATATCTTCACCTTTCTTTGAGCCACCAGCCTTCACCAAGTTTTACACGAATGTAGTGAACCAGACAATGTGGCAACTCAAAATTGTGATGGTTTGAGATAATTATAACGGTAAAAGAAAAAGCAACACAAGGTTCCTTACCCTCGCTTTTTTCACTAGTCCAGATGAGGCTTCAACTGTTGCCGACCTGAGGAGCTATAGGGACTTGAGCTTTCCAAAACTCAATTTCTAAGGGCACTGAGCAGTGTTTGGGTTTCACACGTATGCGATCGTAAGTTATATTAAGTTGACAAAGCAAGCAAAGCAAAGCATGATGCCCCGCGCGTCCACCCGCGACCACGTCCCGCGTCCGACTCCCGACCGCCGCGTGACCCGAGGCTCCCGGCGGTCACGTGACCTACCGGCCGGGACTGCAAACGGCCTTCAACACCATTCTTGTATGACGTCATATCCTACTGAGGTGCTGATTGGTTATTTCCACCGTAGTTATTTTTGTTTCATTGTTTTGCGTGTTTTTCTTATGTGAAATGTAATTAAAAAATTTGCCATATTTTAATCACCATTAAAACATAACTGAATAGGTATAAAAGAGAACTCGATAAATACTTTCATTGTTTTTAAGAATTCCGGAATTAGATACCCGAGGGAGCAAAGAGGGAGCAAGTTGCCACGCTGATTTGATACCTCATAGTCGAAAGGTGGGCTACTAGAACCGAAAATTGCTGTGTTTGTAAATAAATAAGTGATTTGAGGGCAAAGAATGCCCGGATTTAAACTTCTAAAATTATTTTGAACATAAAATATTTCAGTTTGAGGGATGTTAAGGCCTCAAAGAGTAGGTACTTTTCAGGTATCAAATAAGTTCCTCTGCGAAAGTTCCGTCGTGAAAACGGCTAATATGTTATATTCACATTTATTGGGGTATTCGGGGATATGAAGTAGCCTAACACCATTCCAGCAACTACTGGCGAATCCAGAAAGGCGGTCTTGGACGTTGCAAGGGGCATCCCCCAAAATATTCTCCCAATTCCAAAAACGACGTGTCCCAGCTGACCCCGATGACCTCCAATGAGCTCTGTGATGACCCCAAGTTGATCTTATTGACCTGACCTGTCCCAGATGACCTCCGTGACATCCTATTGAGCTCTCTGATGACTCCAAGCTGACCTCTGTGACCTGACGTGTCCCAGATGACCCCCATGACCTCCAATAGAGCTATGTGATGACCCCAACATGACCTTTGTGACCTGACGTGTCCCAGATGACCTCCGTGACCTCCAATTGAGCTCTCTGAGGACTCCAAGCTGACCTCTGTGACCTGACGTGTCCCAGATGACCTCCATTTGAGCTCTGTGATGACCCCAACTTGTCCTCTGTGACCTGGCGTGTCCCATATGACCTCTGTAACCTCTAAGTGACCTCTATGATGACCCCAAGCTAACCTCTGTGACCTGACGTGTCCCAGATGACCCTCATGACCTCCAATAGAGCTCTGTGATGACCCCAAGTTGACCTCTGTAACCTGACGTGTCCCAGATGACCTCCGTGACCTCCAATTGAGCTCTCTAATGACTCCAAGCTGACCTCTGTGACCTGACGTGTCCAAGATGATCTCCAATTGAGCTCTCTGATGACCTTTAGTTGACCTCTGTGACCTGACGTGTCCCATATGACCTCTGTGACCTCTAAGTGACCTCTCTGATGGCACCAAACTGACCTCTGTGACCTGACGTGTCCCAGATGGCCCCAATGACCTTCAATTGAGCTCTGTGATGACCCCAAGTTGACCTCTGTGACTTGATGTGTCCCAGATGACCTCCATGACCTCCAATTGAGCTCTGTGATGACCCTAGGTTGACCTCTGTGACCTGACGTGCCCCCAAGTTGCCCTCTGTGACCTGACGTGTCTCAGATTACCTCCGTGGTCTCCAATTGAGCTCTGTGATGACCCCAAGTTGACCTCTGTGACCTGACGTGTCCCAGATGACCTCTGTAACCTCCAATTGTGACCTCCATCTACAAATTTCTTACCTCTCTGTGACCTCAAACTCTCGGAACTCAGTTCTTCTAAAGCATCGATTCTAGATGCCCTATAGCCACGAATCTCCTGTGATCGATCCCAAATTTTATGGCAAATCACGTGAGCGTTAGCAACCACAAGTCACCCAGTTAATACAAAGCTTCAGAATCAGAGAACATGCTTGACCTTGCTGTCTCATAAGCTCGCAAACCAGAAAGGCGAATGTTCCTTAATGCGTGATAGAGTTTTCGACCTTACTGACGTTTACTACGGGATCAGCTGATCGTGTAGCCTTTTAAATTCTCGAGTAAAGCGGGTATTTAAGCCTCGTCGCAGCTACGTTCTGTCGTATCCTCCGACAAACCCCTCTTTCCTCAACATCCCTCCTTTTCCGCTACGACACAACTTGCGACGGCATATGTGTCGTAACTTGCGACGTGTCGTAGATGGACTTGCGACGCCCTGGATCCCCCCGGCCTAAAATTTAAATACCCCCGCTCGTCACGGCGCGGCGGCGGCGGCGGCGGCTTTGACCAGCCGACAGAGCCGTCCGATATCACTAGCGCCACGCCGTGGAGAGACTCCGAACTACGCTGTACGTCACCACTGACGTCATAAGACGTCCAATAAACGGGCGCAGAACCCGCACCAGCACGTCGGCCTTGGAGCGACCCGTCCTGCACGGGCGAGGTGCCCGTGTGAAATCTGTGTATATTTCGCTGTTCCGTGCCGTGGCAGTGAATACTGCAAGAACAGATTGGTAAGTAGGCGAGGTATCCGATCGTTATTTCTTTACCACTCCTGTAGCCTCTTACAGCCCGTCGTTTTCTTTTGGCCTCGTGAAGCCGCACCCGTGACACATTTGTGCCGTTTTCTAGGTGGACGAGTCTACTCAACACCTGGAGGGGAGGCTCCTTCGCGGCTGAACCGCACGTCTTCCCTGGGTCGACGGCGACGGGACATCGCACGCCTGTACCGTCTCGGGGTGTGCCCACCGTTCACAGCGTCCCACCCTGGTCCGGCTCGGCTGGGGAGCCCCACGTGCGCCTTAGTCTGCGGAACAGCTGTGAGCTAAAAGTAGCTCACCGCCAGCAGGGGAGACGGTGCACGTGTGGTGCCCCAGGCCGCTCGACACGAGTGTCTAGTGAGCGTGTGAAGGGGAACTGAAGTGCAAACCAAGGACATCCTGTGTGGCTGGAGGCGAGCTGTGTGCGAGATACGTTTGAGCCTGGGTGTGACTACGAGTGAGCGTCACTTTTTAGGACAAACTGACTGCCGGGTGTTTTTTTTTCACCGTCCGTTATTATAAGAGTGCGGGCGCGTCAAGGAATCAAAGTGACTCACGTGACAAGAAAGTTCCCCACCAGCCAACAAAATCAACACGATGCCCAAGCAAAAGCAAGAGTCTTACAACAGCGACATCACCGCGAAACAGATCGAGGAATGGACCAGCTCCTTCGACAAGCTTCTGGCCAGCGATCGCGGCCGCGACATGTTCATGGAACACCTACTGAACGAAGGCAACGAGCGCTACCTCGAGTTCTGGCTGCGCTGCGAGCGTCTCTCGGAGAGCTACCGCAAAGTCCGAGACGAGGCGTCGGCCATCTTCGAGACGTTTCTCGAGATCGACGCCCCTATGAAGGTGGACGTTAGTCGCGAAGCCGAGGCGGCACGACTGAAGCTCGAGCAAAAGGAAGGAGAGGGCTTTGGCGTGTTCGACGAGGCACAGTACCGCGCTAAAGCTAGGATGGAGCAGCGCTTCTACCCCGACTTCTGTGAGGAGCTGATGCGAAAGAAGAAGGCATGGAAGTGACAGGAGGCGAACAAGGAGAAGGCGAAAACCTGCTCCTTGTTCTGAGTTTGAGAGTGGATCACGGCTGTGGAAAAATGGGACAGAAATCTATACGATGGGTTGATTTGTTCGATTCTACATCAGGGTAACATCGCCGGCCGTTTGTGTCAAACCAATCTGCTGCATATTCCTGTCCAAAATAGGCGAAGAAATAAGGAACTGGACGCACACAAGGACCGAACTTCGAGTGACTCAGGCCTAGTTGCTTAACATGTAACCAGAGGGGCAGCGCCGCAGCATGCCGTCGATTTTGGCCAGATCGATTTGCCATCAAGCTAGCCCGTGCATCCGCGTCGCATCGCGAATCCCATCTGCCTATAACCTCGTCAACTGACACGAAGTTATCAGCTGGTTTCACCGTGCAACTGATTTTGAACTGCAAGATTTTCAATATTGCAGTGAGCCATGTTTAGCTTATCCGTGCGAAAGTATGTATTATGTACTCTGAAAGTATGCGAATTGCAATCGGATGCTATGAAGGGAAAGAAGTGCAACGAAACATGCGACTGTATTATAAACCTTTTATTTTATTTTGTGTTATTTTGTTGGATAAAAATAAGCTCAGTGACATTATGACGGTTTCACTCACAATCCCCATTTTTAACTTCTTCTTTTTAATTGTGAGGCTAACAATAAGCTTTTCCTGCGGTTCTAATGGAATCGAGAGAAAATTCGTCACTGTTTTTGTCCTTCGGAGATAAGCAGTCGCTTTGTTTTGGTGAGGGATTATCGGGAATGTAAATGATGCCTTTGGGAAGTGCCTAGTCGACGCATAATCGATATGATTGCGTATACTGTACTGATCTACTATGTATTTTGTGTTTCTGTTATGTTTTTGTTGCATAGCGATGATAATGCTGACGCTCATTTGATTATGTTCATGTTTTCATTGCGTTTTTAGAAGAATCAGTATTTATTTGCATTCAGTTGTTCATTAGAGCTTGGTGGCAGTTTTTGAGAGCGTGTACCGAGCTTAATAAGCTTGGATTATCGTAAATGTCGAAATACATTCGAAATAAGCAAGATTTGTGTTGACATATGACATATTGATGGGATAACACATACTCGTATGTTCACATAATTTAGGTAGTTATTTCCCGGATTACGTGACAAAAGATCGTAAGACAAAAGATCGTATTTACGTCGACGATCTTTTGCGATACGATCTTTCGTCCATACGAGCATTATGCCGTACGATCTTTATCAATTACGATCTTTTGCATACGATCAACGTCCTACGATCTTCTGCCATACGATCTTCTGCTTTACGATCTTTTGTCCGGCTACCGGCTGGACGAGCCTCGCCCGCCTCGCCCTGCCCTCTACATAGACCGCAGTCCGCTACCACGCTCGATATCCAACAGAGAGGACGCTAGCATAGCGTTACGGGCCCGTGGCCACCGCCGTGCCAGTCATGGGCGGGCGCAGGGCTGCCCACCGCGGCGGGGCTGCGCGCCGCCTTTTTTAACATTCACAAAAAATCTGGAGGGGTGGGGTCGGGCGTAAAAACGCATCCCAGCACAGCACGCGGGTTAACCTTCCAGGCGGTGGGGGGCATTTTTTGCCCCCCTTTTAGTTTTTTCGATATATCTCCAGAACCGCTGCGCCGATCGTCACCAAACTTTCAGTACCCTCCCGTGAATAGATATTGCACATTGTGACCAAACATTTTTCCAAAGTCTAGAACAGGTTGGCCGCTAATGACGTCACAGTGACGTCATTTCTGCCATTTTCGACCAAAAAAAAGTTTCGCGGGAGGAGCTGTCAGGCCTACAGCACTGGAGATACAGATTACAGACAAATGTTTCAGACATAAAAGGTGTAGCATTAACCCACGCCCCAGTGGCGGTCTCAGCCAACTTCGCCCTAGTGTGTGTGTGTGGGGGGGGGGGGCATATGTTACCACCCACCTCTAACTCAAAAACTAAGAGGGCTAGAAAGACGCGGTAAAAAGCAGTCGATAGCTCTCAATGCGTACGTTTGAAAGAATTTCGGTCATTTTTCATCTTAGAGCAATATTGGGGTCATTGGAGGTCATCAAAGGTCAAAATTTGCCAAATTTCATTATATTTCTCGGAAAACATGCATTTATCTCAGGAACTATGATAGCTAGAAAAACGCATGGAAAAGTAATCGATAGCTTTTGAACTCTTCTTTTGATAAGCTTATAATCAAAATTGACCTTAGGTCAACGGTTTAGCCTCCAGAGGGCAAAAACTCCAAAAATAGCTGTTTTTACGAAATGTGTTTTTCGACAATAATTTTGACTAAAAAAAAGCCAAAAAATTTCTATTGCCAGAATCGTGTTCCTCTCGCCGAGACGTGTCGAATGAACTATAATTTGACCTTGAAAGGTCAGCTTGAAAATTTGACCTCAGGTCAAGGTCATGACCTGACCGGAAAAGGTCATGTTGCATATTATTTGATGCGTCTCAACAAGACAAACACAATGAGACCATCCCCAGCGTCCTATCTCTTTCCAATCGAGAGTTATTGGCAAACATATGTTTGTAGCCTCAAATGACCTCGGATGACCTTTCTAGAGGCAATCAGCAAAAACGACACCTTGGTCGTCACGGGTGGTCCAAATCGTTGTGATTCTGAAATATTTGGACTGTTCCTATGCGTACACACGGATCTAGAGCCAATTTCATTTTTCTCCATTGACTTATAATGGTAAGGTCACGCCACTGACCTGACCTTGGGTCACGGATATAAAAAAAATCCGAGATAAACAAATTGTAGGCGCCCATAACATCATGCAATCCACCAAGCATAAAACGTTTCTGACAAACACTGCAGGCTGGACATGATTGCAATTTTTTTAGGCTTGGTCAGTTAACTTGACCTGCCACCTGGTGACCTGACCTGACATTACCTGGGGTCAAAAATATCACACATTGTCCAAAGTTGATGTACAAAAAGCTGCTCCAAGCGGCGCGGCGCTAAGCGCCGCGGTTTTCTATTCACACGCAAAAAACGCGACAGGATGGTAACATATGCCCCCCCCCCCCCACTGGGGCGATGGTTAAAAGGGCTACAAAACTGCTATCTCGGGTTTTTGATTTTTTTAGATTTTGACCCCCAAAAATAAAAAAATAGATTTTTTAAATATACCTAATAGCCGGAAAATCCAAAAAGTTTTTTGAATTTCGAAAATAAAAACGGAATATATGTGATAGTCCCTACCACCTTCTATCTCTACATACCAAATTTGAGATCGATACCTCTTTTTTTTGGCCAAGTTATAGCGAAAAAACTGTTCAAAGTTGATAGCGTCAAATTTTAAACTCTTTTTTTAGCAATTCTAGACCTCGTATAGCGCAAAACAAAGACCACCATTAGACTCCCCGTGACGAGCTGCATCGAATCAATGCACATTTTATGCAAAGCTTTGAAAGTTGACCTAATTTGACCTGACCTTGACCTGACCTCCACCAGAAAGTGACCTAAACCGTACCTGATGGTCTTATAACCAACACCATTGAGTTGGAAGTGAAAAATTGGCCATAAAACATGCATCGCACAACCTTAGTAAAGTTGGGTTCATGTGATGATCCTTGGTGACCTGACCTGTGACCTGACCTGGTATGACCAGTGACCTCTATCTAATATCAACATATGAACTAGACAACTGACGCCCTATCGCTGATTTTCGACAAAATGCGTTTTCCTCGGTGTTATAGCGCTTTCCCTAGAAGACCCGTGAACGGTGAATCATTTTATCTTTGACCTGACCTGTGACGTCATCGGTGACCCCGAGGTCAATGAAATTTTGTTTCCCTTGACAAATTTGACAGGGCACGCCGTTTGAATTTTCCGGATCCGTCCAGTAGTTTCGGAGATACGGGGGGAATGCCCCCCCCCCCCCCACCGCGCGGACGCACTGTAGGCGATCCATGCATTCTAGCGCTTCAGGGGCCCGAAAAAAATGATGGCAAATATGAATAAATACTGGCGTATTTTGTAGCTAAATATCCCAGCACCCGAAATGTGACACTATTTGTAACATCAAGCCAAACACTTTCAAACCACACACGTCCAAACACGACCTTTTTTGGAGAGGCTGAGCACTGGTGCCTGGTCGTGATTTGATCCTAGTTATATTTAGAGCTGTAAATCAAGACAAAAGTTGAATATATTGAAAACTCTAATTTTGATTGAAACCTCATTCCTTGCGAAGTAATATGCATGCCATACTTTCAACTTTTGAAGCTTCTCTATATTTTTTATAATATTTTGCATTACACCTTTTTGACTGCATCAGTTCAAGACTGTGTACAACGTTTGGCAATGCGCATGTTTTACTGTCCGCGAGATCCGGCCACAAAAACACCATTACTTAGTAGCCTAATGTTTGTTCTCAATACCCTGTTAAAATTGTCTGCGACTTTTTGCGATTCACGGAGTTATGGGCGTTTTGCTCAACCCTTACCGTATAAGGTGGGGGCAGGGCCGAGGGGAGAGCGAAGTACCGCCGCCCAGCCGAAGATTCTGTTCGCGACAGCTCCGAACTCACCAGCGATAGAAAGCTGAAACTTGGCATACCTGACCTTTGATTCAAGTCGAATCTTGTGACACCAACTACATTTTTAGGTCAGGTCAGTTCATGGACCAATGACGTCATAAGTGAACCTCTGCACGATCCTCAGATGTCGCAATTTCGCAAAGCCCTCAATGCCAGAGCAGCTTTCACATGGAGATGAAACTTACAGAACCTAGTATCCTCCAGAGGATTCACAGTTTGTATGTCTCGGATTTTCCCTAAAGGTCACATGAGGTCAGGTCGATCACATGACCTCACCATTGTGAGTCAATGTTGTAAAATGAACGCTGCTATTTTGGCGCCGGGAACGATATCAAACTAGTTCAAGCTTTACTGTTGCAAGGTCCGATGCTTTACTTTTGCATTGTTGAACTTGCGTGACGTCATTTATGACGTCACTATGATCTGGTCATTATAGTTTTTGGTCCATAACTTCCCAACAAATTGAGCTAGCGATTCAGGCAAGCCACTAATGAACTCAGGAAGATCTGCCGAATCAAATGGTATGCAATTTGACCTCCTTCGACCATTTTCGTGACCTGGGAACTCTGACCTAAAAAACTTACAATCGGGTAGGTAGAAATGGCTTCCGTTCCGGGAGAGCAGCATGCCCACGTGGCACCGAAGTTCTAACTCATTTAGAGGCCAAACGGAAAACGAAATTCCTACTCCTTCCTTTAACTCCGTTAGCGTACATTCATTTCGCAACTTTGAATCCCAACGACCAAACATAAGCGTTACACTTACGTTGTAGGTAGACACGATACTAGGCACTAGCTAAAGCTATTTATTTGTAGAACATGTGATCGGAACGTTCAAACAACCACAATTTTTCGCAAGTCATGGTCTCCTCTTTTTTGCTTTGCAATTGCATCTTAGCTTTGCTTACATGCAATTTCAGCGCTAAACCATTTCTATTTCACCGATAATTACCTTCTTCCTAAAACACGATAACTTGCGATCTCCTGAAATGTGGTAGTCTGTTGGTACTATTTTCCCCCAAACAGACCAGTCTGAAAGCGCCTTTGCAACCACAGAGATCTCTATGTTTGCAACAATGTTTTCTTTGCAAAACCAGCACCCGTGGTTTGCGATCAAGTGGTTCATCCGTAACTGACTAGTTGAGAAGTAAGTCATAACACAGACAACACTGTATATGTTTTTGTTAAGCCTCTTCTGTCCTGTGTTAAGCCTATGGGGAAAAGGCATTGCTCGCTCTCTTGCACGTTGCAAAGAAAACCTGATTACTTCTGATGCAAACACTTATATCAGTTGAAGCGCACTGAAACTAGGCACAAAATAAGGGGTTTAAGGATGACTGGTTTTGAGTCTAACTTAAGATATAGCTCATGAAGTGCTAGGATAGCGAAATCGCCTACTGTGGGACGGTCGCCGGAAGGCCCACCGCCTGCCGGGTTAAACATACCTATGTCATAGGCTGCATCAGTTTTGATTTTCGGGGATATGTGCTTAC